TATTCAATTTAATAAAAAGTGGGAGAGGGACGGGAAACAAGTACAGAAAGTGCACCTAATAAAATAATGAAACATTTGTTATTTTTTCGTATAGGTTAACTGCACTTGCACATACTCTATGCTGTAGTGGAGTTTTTCAGTTCATTTCATTTGACAGGCATGCCAAGTACAGTGTGAATGTAGTTTTATCGTTGTTTGGTCATAAACGTCAACAGGCCCGTAGCCAAGGGGGTTTTTATGGTTCGGGCGAACCCCCCTTTTCTAGCGAACCCCCTCGAATTTTTGAATGAGTCCCACACGGACAGAATGTCTGTTTTTAACTTACCCAGTATTAAATCAAAATTTAGCACCTAATTCATTATTTGGTCACCCGTTTTTAAATTGTAGCCTACAATACAAGCCTACATTCATAGAATATCTCAGCTTCAGAAGTTCGGAGATTTAAATTGAACGCAACTCCGGCAAACCATGACTCGATAGCTCACATAAGGATCATGGCAAACATCGATAAAAACTTTCACTGGCCTTTGGCTGAATGTTTGTAAGAAATGTACCAACCGGTAACGAAACCGCTGCTCTCTGCCTGAATAGTGATCGTAACTGAAAAAATAAGGATGCAGCAACACGCTTGGTCAACTTGTAAAAATTTAGAGCCTTCTGTTGTTTGCCCATAAAACAAATTTTGGAGTGTTATACAGTACGATTTCAAAACATTGTCATCGTAAAGAAACAGCTATAATATTGAAAACAAACAACTTGAAACAAAATCTGTGTACGGATTTAAATAAATATTTACAATATATTTTAATGGTCAACTTGTTATCAAATTTTACGACCAATTTTTACATACATTTGTGAGTGACGGTGTGTAATAGACATGCAAAACAAACATTAGCGGTTAGCTGTACAGTGTAATTATCTTTGAATATCATTTTAGACTGATTCATTCATATGCTTGGTCATCTTGTAATCATTTAGAATGCAACAGTTTTTAATAGGTCCGTATCTCTACACTTCTAGACGTAGTATCAAATTATAGTTGCCATAGACCCGGTTTCATACACGCTCGCGCTTAAGTAAATTTCAAAGGAAACTGTTTTCCCAATTTTTCTTATTGTTAAATACTCCTATACAATACTATAGGCCCCTCTGGTATAAAATTGACAGATCAATTAGACACTCTGTAATGGTCGATTATGCCTTTTTTATATAATAAGGCCCGGTAGGCCTAATGTACTGTGTGAAGTACTGACTTTGTTAACATCGAATGGGTGAAATTGCGCACAAACTTCAAACTCTTGGCCTAACATACAATGCCAGAGGAAAGGGTATCACGTTTTAATCACCGAAAAAGATTTTCCACGGACGCACAGAGTAATAGTTTTTCAAATCTTCTAATAGTATGGCCCAAAGCGAACGAGTTTCTGGTCTCGAAAATCAGACACTTCGTTAAGGCTTATACAGTACAAAATACTGTACAGAATATGATTCATTGAAAAAGCTTTAAAATGAAGGACTTTTAAATAAAGTTTATGTATATATACTAATATTTTGCGAATCTTGGGTTTTTAAAAGCAATCTTGGGATTTTTTAGACCCAATCTTGAATTTTGATTTTCCCTAGTGGTCACGCTGCATTTAGAGACAGAATTATACCCCGACGACATCAAACTAGTGTAGGCCTAGGCTTAAGTACAGTAGGAAGTACTACTGGGCCTAGGCTTTTGTTGTAAAACTTGAAGTGCATGTACAGGATGCGCCATAGGCCTATATTAAAAAAAATAATACATTTTGTTAATTATTATTGGTTGGCCTGGGACCAGGCAGGCCAGCTTTGCCGTCGAAAGTCCAGGAATTCGACGATAGCGTCAGTGCACATGTTTACAAACGCCATTGATTGGAATGAAAATAGAGGCGCTGAATTTCGTTTATTTTATGAAAGATACCGTAGTATTTATCGAACATTTATCTATATAAAAACAAGAATATTGTAGAAATTGTATTTCTAAAGATTCATATATAATTCATATTTCATTTGGTAGACAATAAATATTCAGTAAGATACTAAACGATTATTAATTCTGAAATGTGCATCAAATCTCAGCTATTATTAATCTGCAGTTTGTATTAGGTTAAAGTCTTAAAACAATAATTTCGAATTAGGCCTAGTAAACAAATAATTGTAATTAAAGTTTAGGTTCCCATGATGTCAGATGGCGTTTTCAATATGATGCTATATTTTGGGCTCTGACTTAATTTAACGATGGCCCTGTGAGTTGTAGTAAATCTTTGTAAATTACTTTATAGGCCTATATAATAGATTGTTTTGTTTTATAATAATAAATGTGTTGAGTGTATTGATATTGATTATGCGATGAGGTTTTCTTTTGTCTTTCGGTGTGATTAAAACATGCCAATTCTCAGAAAATATTTTCAAATTTTATTATATACCACCTTTTATTACATAGATCTTTTTTAAAAACATAACTGCTTTTATAACATTATATAGACCC